TTAATTTACGGAGTTCTTACGATTTTTTGCAGGTTTGGTCTACTTTTTCCAACAGTTTAACCCATCAACTACCACCGGAACGGGCCTTTTTGACCTACTGTTTAAAAAATGGCTTATAGATAGTTGCAATTTCCACTAAAATATTAAGGGCAAAGTTTTTTTAAGGATAACCGAATGTAATGAAAAGTAATATCTACTAATTTTCACTAAAAAGGGGGAAAACATTACGATACGATAGAGCAACACCTTCCTGGGGTATGACCACCTCTTATGTTATTTTCACAGAGCCACCAAGTACTTGTATACGTCTGTGGGGCCCCAGTATAAATGTTTTGCTTTTTATTAAAAGTTTGTTTAAAAACTATTCAACTCTTTATTAAAGAAAAAAATACAAAAGAAAATCAACTTGATTTTGGTTTATATCCCATAATTGAGGAGTTAGATGCAATAAGGGCACTTCTGATAAAACTGCTTCTGAGATATTAGCGTTAAAGTTTTTGATGTTGTAATATATAAAAGAGTAGTATTGTTGTAGTTGAGAAAAATTGGCTACTGCGAAAAAAAATCATCAGATTACCAGTGTTCGACCCTAATTTAACTGCAATAAATGCTTTCGATTGAAAAGCGGGTTTCCCATGTTTTTTCTGAGTTACGTTTTTTTTTTTTTTTAGAAATAAAAGAGATTATATTCCTATTCAGTGGCCCAAATTAGGTAAAAAAAACTCAGCGTTTTTATACAAGTAGTAGTTCCTTCATACGATGTACATATTTCATTGTGCATACATCATTAAAATTTTGTACAAAATTTGTTAGGCTCCGAACGCCGCCACCGCCGCCGCCGCGCCGATATTTTCGTCATTCGGCGGCGTGGCTTGGCGGCGTAAACCTTTAATACATACATACATATGTAAAAGTTGTTCCCATGTGCAAGTACCGTAAGCATTTACAAGCATAGGGTTGTAAAATTATGATGTGCAGCATATTGTAAAAAATGCTAAAATCGCCCTAATTGAGTCAACAAATGCTTGCGGTCTAATCTTGTTGTGTGAGATTTTTGGATGTTCACAAAAAAAAAACAATCAGCGCAGTTTGAGCAAATACCAAGGAAACACTAAAGGACTCTTTTCAGTGTTCCACCCCTCTCTATTATGCAGCTTAAATTGAAGCGGAACTGATTAGCAAACAATATGTCAACTGCTCGGTGTAAACGGCTTTACCCGCCTGCCTAACTAGTAGGTATGTGGAAATCGAATATCCGTTACTTTACTAAGCTCCTTGAACCGTCCTCCTAAGGGGTGTGCTAGGTACATACCTAAATATGTAGTACATACATATAGTAGTTGCAAGGGTTTCTGGTAGCGGTGGTAATGATTGTCGAACGGTGGAATGGCTCTCAGGGGGAGTATGAAATATGGGCCGAGCACTTGTGGTGTTGCAAGAAAAAGTCATGGAAAATAAACGGATACATGTGTCGGCAATATTTGTGCTTATTGCTGTGATAATCATCTAAAATTCTTTTGATATGCGTGTAACAGTGCCTTATTGTTGTTTGCACAAATGACATCCACGTCAAGAAGACATTACAGGGTCGTTTAATTCACAGCTCGCCACTGCAAAAGCATTCTGGCTTTTGACGTCTATATAAACATACACATATGTACATACATATGTATGTATGTACATACTCATGTACGTACGTGTTTGCATACTACGGCGTTCCTCGCAGGTATTCGTGGTGTACTCCCGCAAAGAAACAGGACCTGCTCGTCAGGCTGGCAAGTATTTTGCTGCCAAGCAACCCCGGGCCAGTCGCACCAGCGCTGGGGCGTTTGTCCAAAGCCCACGGCGTTTTCTGTCACTACCACCCTTCCGATTCCCACTGTGTATTGTTACGTGAGCCATTCTCCGAACAGCATTTCCATATTGTGAGGGTCATATTAACGCTGGAAACCGCTTTTGTGCGAATTTGTATGTATTGAATGTACACACATACATACATAGGTAAGTATGATTAGGGGAGATGCTTATCAATTACACAGCGCGTTGAAAATCATGGGCACGAATTAAATAAATGTCATATTCGGTTTTCGTCATGTTCAATGATTTGATAAATAAATAAATACCAAAGCAGTGTTTAGCTACAAACATTTCAAGTATCTTTCGCATTGTTAACAGTCATGGTAAATATTATTCTACCAGCAGTAGTAAACAATTGTACAAACCGATTGCATCCGTTCCGACTATTTAGTACAAGGAGCGTGCCGACTAACAAAAAGTAAAAGGACAACACAAATAATGCTTTCGTACATTCAAATATCTACTTATACGAGTATGTACTTTACATTTGTTTCTGTAAGAACTAAATATTTAACAGAAATATTCTCTTGATGATTGCTGTTGCCTACACAAGTTTAAGCAAAAAGATACATACTCCCCTATTAGAGAAAAGAACAAAATCATATTTCCATACGCCAGGGACGGCAAACTTTTATACATATGTATGTATGTATGAACGTGCAATTATTACCAAAAAAATATTCAATGTAGCCATGACGTGCCGACAAGAAGCCATGACTTATCACCGTTATCGTACAAAATTTTGTAAAAGAACGAACTAGGCGTATTTTAAGGCGGATTCATCGTTCTAGTTCTGAACTTTTCTTTTCTCTGGGAGAGAAACGCAACAACAACCACATGCAGTTTTGCTACGTAAATGAGCATAGAAATCGTCAAAATGGTTCTCGAAAAACGTCCTTTGTATTGAAGAAATTCACATTACTTATAACAGAAATGTGTTTAATTAATAATAATAATAACAGATTGGCGCTAACGCATATGTTACTGTTTGGCCGAGCTTCTCCTCCGATTTGTGGCGTGCGCCTTGATGTTGTCACACAAAGCGGAGGGACCTACAGGTTTCACGCCGACTCCGAACGGCGATTGTATTTCTGTCTTTGGGTCATAAGCAATTTTTGTTATTAAATTGCCTTAAAACCCTAAGCGAAAATATAATTTTCCAATTTTTTCTCATATGGCAATACAGTTGAATTGTTTGTCCATATTTCCTTTTCCTTATTATTGAAATTATTTTTAATCATTGCATAGGTATATATGGTGAAGGAACCCTTTCCCAAAGAAACTTTAGAATACAAAAGAAAGGCCTGAAATGAGTAGTCCACTTCCAAACAGCGTTATGTGATTTTATAATAGTAAGCCATAAATTAAAAAAAAACGTCTACAACAAGTAAAATCCAAATTGTATCTTTTTATGTTATCTGAAAATTTGTATAAATAAGAGCCTGATAACATTAAAAAACAAAATCTCAGTATGGTAGTTTTCGAAATTTTATATATAAAAATTAATATAGCGAGTTTTGAAACAGTAACTTTTACACAGCCAGCTTCTTTTTTCTTTTCGCGTTCTCTCTTCCATGAAGATTGGTCTACTTCTTTTTTACGACGTCTTCCACTAGGCACCGAAACTACCACGTTTTCATGCAGTTTTCTAAGTTCATCAGAAGATGGAGACTTTTGAACTTGTATAAATACGTACAATAAATAATATAACGACTTTTGAAAGTGTATATATACATACAGTAAGTATTATGCGACTTTTGCTAGAGTAGCTAACATTTGATGCTATTTGTTTCAGAATACATAAGGATTTCGCACTGTTTTGTTAGTGGGCATGAAATTACTTTAAATACTGGTACGTTATCCACCAAAAACTAAAAATCTAAAAAATTTTACATAGAGCACTTTGCAAGTGGACTACTCAAATGGGAAGTTTGGTATCTACTTTTAAAATACCTACATATATAAAAATCCTACAGTTTGGGTTGACGATTTTTGTGTTATAGGGTTAAAAGCGTAATGATTTTCTGTAAAAGTAATAAAAAACGGCGCACAATTAAAAAAATCGTCATTTGCTTGTCGAGATCGTCAAGATAGTTAAAAATCTTCCAAATGACCAAATCGTCGACCTGCCAACACTGACCACTTGGAAGAAAAGTTCTGGATTAAAACGATGAATCCGCATTTTAATGTCTCGTGTACTTTACGTGGCAAGTGGTAAGGACTAACATGCATAATAATAATAATAATAATAGATTGGCGATTACACATATGTTAGTGTTTCGCCGAGCTTCTCCTCCGATTTGTGGTGTGCGCCTTGATGTTGTCACACAAAGAGGAGGGACCTACAGTTTTACGCCGACTCCGAACGGCGATTGTATTTTAATGAGAAGCTGTTTTTCATGGCAGAAATACACTCGGAGGTTTGCCATTGCCTGCCGAGGGGCGACCGCTGTTAAGAACAAACCATTTTTCTACATTTTTTTGCGATGTTGCTTTGACCAGGGTTTGAACCTAGGCGCTGCGGAGTGGAAGCGCGCACTGCTTACCACTACACCACAGCGGCCGCCCATGCATAGGGAGATGAAAATAAGGTCAAGGTAGCAAACGCCAGCTTCTGCAGACAGTTAATCTGTCTGGAATCGTTTTCGAAGTTTCTAAAATTTTAGCATTTTTAGTAGGGATGTGCGATTAATCGGTTAATCAGTTTATTAATTGATCATAATCCTGATTATTTAAAAATTTTATTAATCAGACTCTAATTAATCAGATCCTGAGTAATTCCTGGTTACTCAAAAAAAAAAAAAAAAAATGGAATCTGAATAACTTTGTTCATTTCTTTCGAGTTTGCTTTCATACCAAATGAATTTTTTTTATGTACAATTATGTATGTATGTATGTTCGCTTGCACATTCAATATTTTTCTTATTAATAAAAATAAAATGCCAAAAGAGTACGTACTATGTAGTACATACTACATAAATATGTACATTTGTATATAGTTCCTTAAAATGAAAAACACGTATGCATATATGGGCAAATCCATGGTGAAATAATAATAAGGTGTTGTCACTTAGGGGGTGGTTGTTGTAGTTTTGGCAATTTCGGCATACCAGCGTTACAGTAATGCCTACTCTGTTTATTCCAATTTCCTTTCTGGGCAAAATAGAACAAAAAATGTAGCAGACAACAATCTTGTGAAAAAAGTAAGCGTAGGTATCACTATTTCTTTGAGTCTCCTTTTCTCTGACTTTTCGTTTCAAATTTATTGGAAAATCTGAGCGATAGTTTGCAATAATTGTGATTTTGTAAGTAAATTTTTGCTAAAATATATACATATATATGTGCATATTGATGAAATTTAATTGTTTATATATTTCTTCAAGTAGGTTGAGCTATTATCCCGCAAAAAGCAGCGATTTATTCAAGATAATTCCAGGTAAGTTTCGCAAACTAAATGCATTCACCAAACTAATGTATTTTTCTCACAAAAGGTTTTTAGAACAGCACCTTTTAAGTTTTAGAGCTGGCTACAGTTGTTTATTGGGGCAGTGTCTCATCAGCGGCGCTACCAACAGCGGTGTTATAAGCAAGTTCCAGGTAGGAAATTGTTAAATCCAACATATTTATATCATCAGAATCTAACCAGTCTTTATGTTTGTGTTTCTTCCATCAGATTTTTGGAGCAGTGTCTCGCCAAGCTGCGCTACCAGCAGCGTTTTAATAAGC